AAATAAACAGTTCTACAACTTTGTCCAACGTTATGGTGGTTTCTATAAGATTAACAGTTATCCCTTCCTCCATCCCGCCCTAATATCAAAGCATTCATAAAATGGTTGAGTTGGGAACATTTAAATATACATTGATCTCTTTTTCAAATGCTCATATAATATATATTCAGGGTTCTAGTGTAAAAACGGCTAAGATCAAATTATTTTCTTCTAACTATTAAACCTTAAGTAAGAAATTGCCAACCTGCAACTGTAAACAACGTTTAGACTCCCCTCTCTCCGTATTCCCTTACATAATGATCTTAGTGTGAATGATCCCAAATCAGAAACAAAAAGTTAATTTGTTATGTCATTTTTAGGACCACCACAAATAGGATGGTCTTTAATTCAACTTTCATCCAAATAAAGGCCTCATTATAAACCACAACATCACAGAATACACTATGCTGGTAAAGTAGCTATTTCTGGGTCAACATATTTTTTTCCTCAAAGTTCGCGCTCACGAATCATAAAATCACTGATTGTGACCAGGCATGGAAAATCATTTGCATTCATTTCGTGCATTCATTTACATTCATTTGCCTCTAACTTTTTTCTTGAACAGCATTCCGCGAAATGGTATATAGAGCTTATGTAGGTTTTGTTATTAGCAACAACTTTTGTATGAAAGTTAAATTCGTATCTCTTATGCATGACGAACCAGAGCGAACAGAAGCCACTACTGTTTTCCAGTGAATGTATTTTACAATCACTCAAAAACAGTAACAAGTTCTGCCCGCTCTACTTCGTGATGCATAAGAGATACAGATTTGAGTTATGAACAAAAGTTGTAGCTAATAACAAAACCTACTAAAATTCTATATATCATTTTGCGGAATGTTGTTGATGAAAAAAGTTAGAGGCAAATGAATGTAAATGAATGTATGAAATGAATGCAAATGATTTTCCATGCCTGATTGTGACTCTCTGAAAGCGAAATTGACAGGTTTTATATGCCACACATACTTTTCAACCTCTTCTTGTAACTTTCAAGCACAACATTTAATTGTAGCATCCAATGCTTTAATAATTCCGAGAAACATTTTTTATAGCGAAGTTTCACTTAAACATCTACCATTGGAATAATTGAATCATTTATTTGAGAATCCACATAAGTCCATTTGATACAAATGCTGGAAAACAGCAGAAAACAGAACCTATATGGTTGCTCCACAAAATTATATTTGAACCCTATTGTAACCCTTTACTTTCCAGAAGGATTTTGGTTGTTCTGATATGCAAAAGACAAATGGTACGTTACTTTACAATTGATTTTTCCTATTTATACAGTTTTTATACTTGTAACTGAAAAAAATTAAACTATAAAACAGTCAAACAAAAACGTGAATACATCCCGGTAGAATGTGTCAACAATATATTTTTGAAAAAAAAGTGCTAAAACAAAAGCCTCAAATTATCGAATTAATCAAATAAAGTTTTTGTATAAAATCAATAGTGTGTAAATTGTTTTTCAACCGTTACTCAGTTAAATCCTCATATGGACGAAAATAATGAACACACGGTAAAGTTAAATGGACTACCATGAGATGGACCGAAAAGTTGTGGATCACCATGGGAAGAAGAGTGTTAAATGGTTTGCTGCAACTATTCTGATATTTGTAGGAGAGGTGTATTAATTTGAGCTGATCCTGCATAAAGGTCGATTCGATAAAATGAGCTGATCCTGCATAAAGGTCGATTCGATAAAAATGTGAATTATGCGGCTATGATAAAAATGTGACTAATCAATTCTCAAAATAAACTTATTTATCCGTCATTATTGCGAGTTTCATATTTGGCGTATCATTAATTTATGTAAATACTATGCTTATGCGCTTTTAATAAAGATAAAAATCAGGCCAGAGCATGACTCAACACATTGCTTGCTAACACTGTTGAGCTACATATTAAAGCAAATTTGATGATAATAAAACAGGGTCTTTCCGTGTTTGCCAGCACAACTCCATCAACTATAATATTCTTCTGTGCCTCATAGATTACCAGTCATTTCTAATCACTAAGGAATGTTCTGGTAAAATCACACATTGGATTTATTGTTTTTTTGGAAGCAGGGAAGATTCAAATCATTTGTTTCAGAAAATGAGAGGACGCTGCACCGCAGATATAATTAATGCTAATATAATCAATGCGGATCGTTTTGAATAAAAGAAGTTTTCGTCATAGGGTATTTTAACTTTTGCATTAAACGTGAGGTCAAATTTGCATAAATTTCAACGAATGTGACCGATAAATGCTTGTTCAGTTCCACCCAACTAGGAATTCGGCGGTGAGTCGTACATTATGCAAAATATAGGTTGGTATTATGTACTGATTTGGCGTTCGTTGATGAGTCAAAGTTATTCAATTATCTCCATCCGGTTAGTGTTCTTGGAGTACATCGACAGTTGTTAATTGAGAGCATTCTTAGCCTGTTGTATTTTTGTATATATTGTGTATTGAACATATTAGCTTGTTCCAAATTAGTATATATTATGTGGCAATTACAATCATACTCTATGCGTCGAGAACTCGAGCAATTTTTCAATTTAAAAATGTCTAGACCGAACCGGGATTCGAACCTAGGCGCCTGCAGTACAGTAAATGTCATTTTTCATGAATGTCATGAATAATCTCATGCGATTTTTACAGTGATCTTTCTGTCGGTATCATCGGATGTGGAAACGATTATAGAGATTTTCTTCAAAGTCTAATCAATTTTTTTGTCGTAACAGAATGTAAACATTGCAATTACAAGCTCCTTTAGTGAACCTACAGTGAACTCTCTACAACTTGATATTCAAAGGAGCATCGAGTTATAGAATTATAGAGATATAGAATAACAATCCCATAAACAATCGATATCACAGTAGCCATGAAATTAATTTATACTATGGTTTTATAACTTGATATCGAGTTGTGAAGAGTTAACTGTATATATATTATCACATGATAGGTACAGTGCCCGTTTGATTTTGGCAACAAACCCAAAAAAATTGTGTTGCCAAAATCGAACCGTGTCAAAACCGAACGTTTTTATTTTTAAATATAATTTATGATTTCGTTGATTTTGGACCACCGTGAGTCATTTTTATGACAAATCCGTTATTAATAAATAACGTTTTATTGAAAATTGTGATCATAACAAGCAAAAATAAATTATTTTCAAAATCCATTCGATTTTGGCACGGTGCCTTGCTTTAAAGCTGCGCCTGTACCGACTGAACTAAGAGAGACCCCTTGAATAAATGTTACATTTATCGAATGTATCAATGTCTGAATGAATCTGAGAGAAGGGATTACGGAAAAATGAAGCCCTTACCATAAATTAATTACCATGAGGTTTTATGAATTTCATTGAAAACGATCGTGAATGAAGCATGAGCTTAGTTAAATTTATTTTAGTAAAACGCTCGATTATCAACTTTTTACCTAGTGGACGAATTTTAGAAAAATTAGTGGAGTATTAATGATCTTTATTATGACTAAAAATGAGGTAAATGAGCAAAATTTCAAGATGTTTAGTTAATTTTATTTCAAGATATTAAGGTATTTCAAGAAAAAATCGTTTTTCTCAAACAGCTCTTACTTTTACCTAACGCATCCAAATAAGCCCAATACTGTACCAATAAATGATACATGTATGATGATTCTGCAGCCAGAATTCAAAAAAGTATCTCTTTAAATTTGGCTTTTACAGCTGTTTTTCTGAAATTTGATGACATCTGTACGCTCAATTTTGAGGTACACTGTAAGTGTGTGGTATTCGTTTCAATACTAATGTTTATTTTTGACCGTTTTTAAAAGTGAGGCATGAATCGAAATTACCGAATTTCAGCACAAATTAGAATAAATGCCCGTATCGAAGAATTTATTAGGCAAAGTTTCATGAAAATAGGAGAAGGTAAATCTGACAGTTGGCGTGGAAATGCTCAGTCAAACATGTCATCTCCAAAGAATGCTGTAGTAAAACCAGAAATTGAATTTTGAGTTCTAAACACTCATTTTTTAGTGCCAGAAACCAGGAAGTCCAACAACTAATCCAGCAAAAATATATCAGCAATCTAGTTTGACAGCACTTTACATGATTTTTTGTAATATTTCTTTTTCTGGCAACAGCAGGGGTTTGCTGATAATCAGCTATTTGCTTTTGTTTATTTTCTGTTTTCACAAACAGTTTTAATGAATTCAAGAGATGTTTTACATACTATATTCTTTGCCTAGAGAAGTCGAGAAAACTTCCAGCTCAAAAGATAGTCCCTGGCTTGATAATACTAAAACCGTATCTTAACTGACTACGCCATCATTTGTCGTTCTATGGAAGCAGAGAAAAATGAGACGAAATTGCACCCCTTAGGCCACGATAACTTTTGTATTAATCGTGAGGTTAGATTTGCATTAATGACATCGAATGGGACCAAAAATTCTAAATGCTTGTTCAGCTGATGCGAAAATATTGAAGTTTTTCTTATTTTCTTGGTTGGTATCCATGGTTTATTTTAAAATATCAGGACGAATTGGTGTGCCTTGCGTTTTTAAATGGTACGTATGATATTTAAAATGAAAGACATCGGCAAAGTTTGAAAGCTCTAAATTGTAATTGTACATAGTTAGTATCACCGCAAATTTATCAAGATATTACATTTGCCGTAGTTAAAAATCATCCTTATCATCAATCAGTGGCCGGTAAGCGAACGTAACTAACTGATCATCAATGAGCATACAAGTTAATTAGGCTTTCTTTTGGCTAGCTGTTGATTTTGGAAGCTATAACGCTGCACTCCCCTGTATTTTGTTTAGTTTTCTGCAGTTTGGCTGGCGGTCATGATAATTTTGTATCCACCGCGTAACTGATTCGCCATTAAAAATAAAAAAAATAAAACCATCATCACCTTCATTTCACCTAAAACATATGATTATGTGTAGCTTTTGTTTCCTTGTGTCTATTCCCACTATATGTGTAGGTATTATTTATCTGAAGTCACATTTGGGCCGATATCTGTCGGTGGATTCATTTGGCAACGTACTGTGCGAATCGGAGGAACGCGACGCAGGTAGTCGGTTCCAGATCAGCATCGCCGATGACAACTCAGGACGGTGGGCGCTGAAGAATGAACAGCGCGGTTATTTCCTCGGGGGAACCCCCGAAAAACTAACGTGCACCGCCAAAGCTCCAGGAAAGGAAGAATTTTGGAGCGTGCACCTCGCTGCCAGGCCACAGGTAAGTCTCAGACTGGGGAGAAATCGTAACAAAGCTAACCGCTAACACACTTTCCTTCCTTTGCACGAAATCGCCATGCCAGGTGAATCTGCGCGCCGTTGGACGCAAACGTTTCGCTCATCTGTCGGAATCGCAAGACGAGATCCATGTCGATGCCAACATTCCGTGGGGCGAAGATACGCTATTCACACTGGAGTTCCGCACCGATGAAGAGGGACGATACGCACTGCACACATGCAACAATAAGTAAGTATTATAGTTTGGCCATACTTTCTCTGGAAGCAGCACCGATAGCGAGTGGCCATGGGGCGTGCATAATTTCTCGAAAATTCATCTATTGCACAATGTCTGCATGCAATTGAACACTACAGGACACCTTCTTATATCATCGCCAGTTGTCAGCTCGATACCATTATGAGCGCACGGTAAATCTAACTGATAGGTTATTTTCGTATGCAGCCACCCGTGTCAAGCGGAATGATCAATTTGAGATAAATCGCATTATGCCACCTGCTTTTCCATCTTTTGTGCAGATTGCGCTCAGTTGAACATGTCATGTGCTGATGATGAATAACTTTTTACATAATAAATAAAACGCTAATTAGCCAACGAACTTACATCCTAGTACAGTTTTTTTTATGTGTTTCGGATGTTATGAATGTTCGCTGTGCGAATTTCCATAATAGTTTAATTAGAGATTTTCAACCATCATGATAAATGATACAATTTAATACAAAAAATTATCTAAAGGGGATAGAAAATACGTTATGTATTGATTTTTCAATGTTTCAACTTATGTTGAAAATTATTTATTTCGCTCCACATAGCGCAATCGATTGCTTCATGCTCTGTACAATCTCTCAAAATTTGAGCTCATTTAATAGCAACCTGAAGCTTCATTGCACACTACGAAAAATTCATGTAAATTGAACACGTTTTCCGTCCGCCTTATTTTTTCTTGAGTTGTTTTCCGTACTGAGTACCAATGCTACCGACGCCAGGGAGGCAGCTGCCACACCAGGATATGATTAAATTTTCATTTTTGTTTAGCTGGCACTTTCATCACCAATCCCGGTCATTCACTGCGATCAGTAAAAAGCCAAGCTCAAACGCAAACATGTTTTCTGTATATATTCTTTTACGAATACATCACTCTCACGTAAACTAAACGTGCAGTCAAGGTGATACCGGGTAACAAATGGGAATGCGAGAGCACACCGAGCTCCATTAACAGTAGTTCAGAATGGGAATTCAGCCAGGATTGTAGTTCTAAAGCATTTGCTGCAATATTTAGAAGTTTGGTTTTGTGCTTGAAAAGTCCCTTCTTTTCTTAGTTGTAAGCATTAGGTTGGCCTTCAAAATAATTGATAATCAAAACATTTTTTTTTTCTTTTTGAAAAAAAAGAGACATAGGTATGCTGTTCAGCAAAGCTAAAATTTTAACCTCTAATTTTTTTTATCGTGAAAGTCTTTTTCACAAATGTTTTGGAACTAAATAAAATTCTCATTTTTGCCGAATAAAGCGACTTGATATCTCTTAAAAATAATGCGTTATTGACGATTTTCTCTCGTATAATATACTTAACTAAGGCCCTTGAAAAAAAAGGTGTATGTATTTTCTCCGTTCTGAGTTATTGACATTTTAAAAGGGCGTATTGAAAAAATAAAATGATTTTAAAGAAATATTATTTTTCTTTATTCAGCCGAAGAACTCCAATCACTCGAGAATAAAACGTGTGTCAAAAATAATTTTAATTTAATTATCATGGGCGAAGCCCGGTACTATCAAAAAATGCGGGTGATTTATTTAGCGAATCCCACTACATTAAAACAATCAAGTATTTAGTATTAGATGTTTGAGAATGTACTCTTTAAGTGTTTTATTTTTATTTTTTATTTAGGCTTTAAACCTTGTGATAGGTGGAAATATAACTTCGCTTCTCGTAATTCAAATTCGTCTGCGCTTTTTCCATTAAAATCTGACTTCGACTTCGAAATCTGAACTCAATTTCAAGACCACTTTTCTAAGTAAAATTTGTTTTCGATTCTCGTAATCCAAATTTGAGTGCGCTTTTCTTGGTGGAAATCGTAAGAATTGTTTTTGTTTTGTTTAATGCTGAGTGATTACTCGGCGACTACCCATAATTACAACACTGCCCTTTTCAGCATAGTTGTCCCATTCGTTAAAACAACAAGCTGAGAAAAACGCTTTTGAAGATTGATTTCTCCATTGGCACTTATGGATGGAACAACATAGCAGTTTGGCCACCTTAAGAATATCATCACTAATCATACAATATGCAATGGGAAATTCGAATGATGTTTAACAAAATGGTTAGTTTCAAGCCCTGTGTACATCATGAATACAAATTGAATATTGAAAGTAAACTTTTGAATCTTATTAAAAAAAAGGTTTTAAAAATGTTCGTTTGTAACCGAAATTAAACCGTTTTACCCCAACGGTGAGCACCCACTCGGGGTGGCATGAGTGACCTTGTAAACAACGGGTAAGAATATTCTGCTCTCTTGAGGCTTTATACAGGGTCAACAATGAACAGTATGAGCTTAAAAAAGAATTAAAAGAAGCAATTATTTTCCGTAGATTAAATTAAATTTTTTTTCCGAACTTCCTATTTAGGGCTATTTTTACCAAAGCAGCTGCTTCAAAACGTGATTTCATATGATACAGTCATATTCATGAAAAGAATGATGCAAAATTGAAGAATTTAAGTTGAAATATCAGTGGTGCTCATATTGCCCCGAATCGACTTAAGTAATATTTTGTTTAGAAATTCTTTAAACTTTAACTTTAAACTTTTCTAAAAACTAGAAAAACATCGTGTCATGTAGGAAACCAATGACAATTTATAAAGCTGATGAAGGAATATTAACGATAAGTTATAAAAAAAACTTCTGATAGACCTTATTTTCTGATTTAGAAATCAGTTTTGAGCTAGTCTAACATGTTTCGAATATTTGCTCTAGAGAAAAGTATTTTGTTAGATTTAAAGGAAATGGATAGTTGAAGTAGGTTTCAAGCATTAAACCTGCAACAGATTTTTTGTAAAGTATGTTCAATACGTTGATTTTTAAGCGGTTGGCCACATTGCCCCATTGGCCATATTTATTGCTCCATTTTCTCCTAAATTGTAAAGTGATTCAAATATGTAACTGATTTTCGACAAAAATGCAAATGGGACTGTTTTGCCTATAATCGCACATAAAGGGTGATACGGTCAAAATTTGGTCAATATCAACTTGACGTATTTCTTTCAATTTTGCATTTCAAAAACGTGAAAACCCCTCATTTTGAAGGTGTGTGTGTGTGTAGAATGTTGCTCCTATTTTGATTTTGGAATTCACTCTTCAGTTGTCAAAATGCCGTCCAAGCAAGAAGAGCAGCGTATCAAAATTTTGCTCGCGCATCGCGAAAATCCGAGCTACTCGCACGCAAAGTTGGCAAAATCGCTAAAAGTTGCCAAATCAACCGTTACAAATGTAATTAAAGTGTTTGGGGAACGTTTGTCGACAGCTAGGAAGTCTGGATCGGGGGGAAATCGAAAACCGGAAGCCGCTGAGACGACAAAGAGAGTTGCCGGTAGTTTCAAGCGAAACCCTAACCTCTCTCTTCGAGATGCCGCAAATAAGCTGGGTGTATCGTCTACAACCGTGCATCGAGCCAAAAAACGAGCCGGACTATCGACTTACAAGAAGGTAGTGACTCCAAATCGCGATGATAAACAAAATACGACGGCCAAAGCGCGATCCCGGAGGCTGTACACGACGATGCTGACGAAGTTTGACTGCGTGGTAATGGACGACGAAACCTACGTCAAAGCAGCTTCCGGGACAGGAGTTTTATACGGCAAAAGGAAGGGGAAAGGTAGCAGATGTTTTCAAGCACATGAAACTGTCAAAGTTCGCAAAGAAATATCTGGTTTGGCAAGCCATATGTACCTGTGGCTTGAAAAGCAGCATTTTCATAGCTTCCGGGACTGTCAACCAAGAAATTTACGTGAAAGAGTGTTTGAATAAACGTCTGCTGCCTTTCCTGAAGAAACACGGTTGTTCCGTACTGTTTTGGCCGGATTTGGCATCTTGCCATTACGGTAAAAAGGCCATGGAGTGGTACGCCGCCAACAACGTGCAGGTGGTTCCCAAGGACAAGAACCCTCCCAACACGCCAGAGCTCCGCCCAATTGAGAAATACTGGGCTATTGTCAAGCGGAACCTAAAGAAGACCAAAAAAACTGCTAAGGGCGAGCAGCAGTTCAAGGCAAACTGGCTTTCTGCGGCGAAGAAGGTGGACAAGGTGGCTGTACAAAATCTGATGGCAGGGGTCAAGCGTAAGGCCCGGCAATTCGAATTTGGAAAAGCGGAAGCCTAACTGAATATTTTTCCTGAATTTTATACTAATTGAACTTGAAAAAGAAATTTAATTTGATTTTTTAAATAAACGATTTCACCGATTTACACGCGTTTTCCCTTGACCAAATTTTGACCGTATCACCCTTTAAGTCCCATATGGATTTTCGCTGATATAACATCACATGCAAGCTTCATGGTAATTAATTTTGAATAAAATTATCGATTAATTTACTATGATTTTTTAAAAATTTACATGGAAATAGCACTTCTTAACTTCAACTGCCATTTTCTCAATGCCTATTTTTTTTAATGGCACAGGGCAAGACAATGATTGTAAATGTTACAAAATATGAATACTTAAAAATTTGTTATTTCTTTCAAGATACCTCAACGCCAATGGAAAGCTGGAAACCAAATGTACCGACGATTGTCTGTTCAGCGCTGAGTACCACAGTGGCCATCTGGCTCTACGTGATCGTCATGGGTTGTATCTGTCCCCGATCGGATCGAAGGCTGTCCTCAAATCACGCTCACAGACTGTCACTCGCGATGAGCTGTTCTCGCTGGAGGACTCGCTTCCTCAGGCTTCGTTCGTCGCCGCTTTGAACAATAAATACGTTTCAGTCAAGCAAGGCGTTGATGTCACTGCTAACCAGGATGAAATCGGAGATAACGAAACATTCCAACTGGAATACGATTGGTCTGCCCACCGTTGGGCTTTGCGAACCACTCAGGTAAGCTGGTTTTGTTGTACCTACAAGTTGGCAAAGTTTACATTTATTGTCCCTGATTTATTTTCAGGATCGTTACTGGTGTCTGTCAACTGGCGGTGGTATTCAAGCTACCGGTAACCGCCGTTCGGCGGATGCTCTCTTCGAATTGGTATGGCACGGAGAAGGTTCCGTATCGTTCCGCGCCAACAACGGGAAACTTTTGGCGACGAAACGCTCTGGTCATCTTTTTGCCACAGCTGAATTAGTTGAAGATACAACCAAATTCTACTTCTATCTCATTAACCGTCCCATCCTGGTATTGAAGTGTGAACAAGGATTTGTCGGTTATCGTGCCCCGGGAAGCAACAAGCTAGAGTGCAATAAAGCTATCTACGAAACAATTCTGGTCGAACGTGCACCGAAGGGTGTTGTCCACTTCAAAGGTATAAAAACGTGAACATATCGTTTGTTTCCAATGTGGATAATTATATTTTCTGCTTCAAATCATGGTTCAGGTCAAAATGGCAAGTACTGGCGAATTGATGGTGAGGGTATTGCGGCTGACTCAGATACCCCAGCTGATGGATTCTATATTGAGCTGCGAGAACCTACACGTATCTGTTTGCGATCAAAGGACGGTCGGTACCTCGGAGCTACTAAAAATGGCACATTCAAACTGGTCGACACTGGCTTCGAGACCGCCACTCAGTGGGAATACTAAAACAGTTCATTCAGCGGCATCTCATCGGTTCGGGTTCACTCGCACTCGAAATTTTAGCTTGTTAGGTTACTCTTCTTATACAACTACTACTAATAGTGCTACTCCATCTGAAGAAAGCAAAATTCATTCGAAGAAAATCGTGAAACGTCTCACAACGCAATCAATCTCTCTCACTCTTTTAAACTAATCCTTAAATTTTATTTGTAAATTTATTTTACTATCTTTCGTATTATAAAACTAGAATATTTTATAAAAACAGCCAATAAAGAAACAGAAATGAACAAGTAGTGCTCTTTGATGCAAATGTCTACCAAGAGCAAATAATTTTGAGAAAAAATATTGTCATTTCATAGCAACCATCTCTATATGATGCATGCGTATATTTATTGCAATAATCATACATCAAAAAACCTAAATTAGTTGTAGTATCTAGTGATCACTAAAATTAAAAACAAACTATCATAAATGAAAAGAATAAAACGAATGTATGACATAACGACATCATGCTTTTTCTTATAAAACATTCTCGTCCCATTTCATAAACTATGCAATCAAAGATATAATTATGAACGAACGAAAAGCGGAAATGCTTAACATTTTTACCTAATCCGCAAAAGTGATAAAGCTTGACATAGTTCTCGTCGCAATGCTAAACGTAAACGTCCGTCATCAAATTCGAACGATTTCTACCCAAGAGAGATATATACCTTACCACATGATCCAAATGTGATTAATCGTAGATAAATCCACCTTATTTGAAATGACTACGTATTGTAATAGTCACAGTCTGATGTTGCCCCCAAATGGATTGCAACTGAAGACAACCCGAAAACTGCCAAACAGTCTAAAAAAAGTTCTTTGAAACGAAACTCTTAGTTCACACGCATCCTCCAAACCCACAATGAATGTAGCAAAAATACTCCAACTTTGTAAAGTATTTATCTAGATATGTGTTGTTTTAAGTGCTGTGAAAGCTTGTTAGCAATACATGTAAAATATTTATTTATTATGTTTAAGTTTGTCGAAGGTGTTCTTGTGTTATAACAACAGACCGTATTTCGATAGTGGAAAAACAGAACATGATAGCCTCACGATTTGGCGTAGCAAAAGGCATCAGTATCGATTACTAGTGTGACCGGAATCTTTTTTTTACAGACGAACGAAAACATTCGAAATATTTTACGAATTCAGAAGAGGGATACAATATACAGATAAAATGTAAACGTATGTGTGTAATCAAATCGAATTGAAATAAAATATATCAGTAAAATAATAATAATAAAATATATCGTTTTATTGATAGGTATAAAGCTTGTGCACGATAAAAACTGGACATAACAGGTTGTTATCCGTCCAAAGAATAATTTTGTTTGTTTTAACCTAAATATTACGTTGAATCAACCCAGGCTTTCAAGTTGAGCCGTAGATAACAACCCAAATTTTGAATAAATTAAATTTGTTTAAAACGTCTAAAACGTGAAGTGAAACCATCTTTAATTTGTGACCTTTGTGTTTTGATCCACTTGCCGTTTATTTCAAACAAAAATTTAGGGCTTAAAGCAATCAACAAAATTTTCAGTATGAATTCAACATCATACCTTCTTTTGGTTGTTTCAAACTAGACTAATTTTTCTCCGTGAAAAACTGGAGATATATACGATACCTCACGATGCCTTAGTGGAGCAAGGATGAACCCAAAATGCCTGAGAAGGACACGACTGGGGAGCCAAAGTGAATTGTCAAACAGAAGCCTAACAATTCCGAAGCCATAAATGTAGCCATTCTACTTATGTATTGTCAAGTATTACCATCTCAAGGATTTTTTTTGCATTTATTTATTTGTACAGGCTCAATGGAATAAACTTAACAGAGCCAAGTTATCATTTGCGTTATACATAATAGATGTCTTAAAGCTAGAGATCTCAAGGAAATAAACTATACTTTTTCGTAACACATTATGAATTGTCTAGCTCAACGACAGAAATCAACAGCGAAACTCAGCGAAGAATACATGCAAACCAGCAGTTTTGATGACTCACCTGGGTTTTCACTTCTATTAAAACAAGAACGTCTAGAAAATCATCTCGTGAAGGTTTTATACAAAAATTTATTCTGGAAAAACTTTTTTGTACGCTGCAGTCCATTGCAAGAACTGCCATTACATTTATTGTATGAAACATATGCAGAGGATGTAATAAATTCAACCTTACATTGGATGTAAAAGAAATTTGTTTTGCGTGTATCAATGTATAAAACCAGACATGTCAAAGATGAACAGCAACTAGGCTAAATCATGTAATGTAAAAACAAATGTAACATCACAGACAAACAGACATAACTCTATGAATATTAGTGATTTGAAAACATCGTTTATAAAACACGATCGCCATCTGTCCACACTATGGAGGGCACTGCGCTCAACAGATGGCGGTAGTATTCAAACGTCAAACTCCATTGCAGATTACTAGGCGCGACTCCAATGGCTACACTACCACCTACACCAATAAAAATTCAATGATTATTTTTATGTGTCCCACACATGAATTTTTAATTGTTTTTAGCTCCATTATTAGATTCCATTGCATTGCTTAACAATATTGCTGAATAAAGGTGAATACAGTCAGCATAATAGCTCTTATACCACTATGCGTCCATGTTTTAATTGCGTGCTTTGTAAATGTTTTACAAACGGCGTATTCATTCATTATTTCACAACACTGTTTCAAGCTAACAACAAAACGAAATTGGTAGCATAGTGGTTACCGTTTCCGCTTTCTAAGAAGAAGGTCGCGAGTTCAATCCCGACATCAACCGTTTTTTTATTTATTTTCTACACCTATGTAATTTAAATAGTAATCAAAGATCGTATCACTCACGACAGCCAATTCATCGATCTATCTAAAAGAATAGCCCAGCATCCTTTCCATCGAAATTGGAGAGGTAACATTGGTCTCATGTAAAACAACTATGAATGAATTAATCATTCTCACATCTCCTTGAATTAGCTAGAGTTACAGCAGGGAAGGTTATAGGTATTCAGATTCAAGTTTTTATTGGTTATTTAGCTGCCCATATGATGTATTCTAGGATAGCTCAGATGGCAAGGCAAGCGGCTGGTGATCGGAAGGTTTTGGTTCGAATCCCATATAAAACGACACATGTGTGTGTATGTATGTATGTAATGAATTTTCTAATATCTGTGTGGGTTGGGTGCGTGCTTCGACAGAAATAATGACACAACAATCACTAAACCGGAGAACAACCCTTTTCTGTGCCGTTCTTATTTTCGGATTAACTATCCCGTAGTTGAATAATCGTTTAATAAATATATAATAGTGTCTAATTAAACAATATTTCACATGAGAATCAAGCGTCTATATACACCTTTAAACCATCGCTGTTTAAGGAAGTAATGATGTCTAATAAACGCTGGTTATAACTCTTGTCAATCCAATTGATGTTGTGGTTGAATAAATTCTCCAGATTTGTGTGAACAAAGCCTGAACAGAAGTTATTATTAAAAATAGTACAAGTATTATTAAGCATGCAGTTGAATAAAATCGTCAAGAAGTCCGTTCTTCAATAGGCAATTTGACCATGCTCAATTTATGGTTGATAATTCAAGTTTTCTTTCAAAATAAGGGGAAAATCGGTCAAAATGGACCAAAATGGCTTCTAAATGGAACCATCGCCATTCGATTATCCACATTTTTTCACATAGGGTGTGCTATTTTTAAGGACTTTTAATCTGCGCTGTCTAAATAAGTGGGATTTTGGGTCAATTTTCCCCCACTGTGCGTCGTTCGAATTGCATTATCGTTGCGCTTTTTATTGTCCTGCACAAGTCGAAACAATCCAAAAAGGCTGCATATGACGAGTTTATTAAAGTCGAGCTATTGCACCGAAGGGAATTTAAATAAAGTCAGTTCCTGCTGAGCCAACCAAGGCTCATACCTGAAGTTGTGTAGGAGTCGAGGGAATATTCCGACAGTCCGTCGGGTTCCTGCAAGTGTCCGAGATTGCATAGTGGTTCTTAACAATCCATTATTTGTTACGTCCATTTTAAAACCATAATACATTAGATTAAAACTTTATTACATAAACGTCCATCTAATGTCCCGTAACCAGTTCAGTTAAGGTTCAGCATAGGGAATATAAACCATTATTGATAAGGCCATGTTATGGTGACCTTTGGCTAAATAACTCATCCCAAAAAAGGTTAATCAGTACATATTATGGAATTCGTTCTATCTCAAATAATAACAACATAAATATAATAAAACATTTTGTTTATTTAAATATGGTAACAACCAGCAATAACGAAAAACTATACATATATATTCGAAGTTAAAGTTTTAAAGGCTATATTCGCTAGAAGATTCAATTAGTCCTCCAGATACTGAATTCGAAACGGTAACGCGGTCGTTTTCATTCAGATACATAAGTAGCTAGTTGAGCATTTCGCTTCAGCTGGACTGAATAGTGATCCACTCGGGCATTTGAAGTTGTAGTTCTGAAAATTACCAACGGTCGTCTTCAGACACATTATGTAAGTGTCACAACCTTCGGATGTTGGATCGGGAAACCGTCCATCGGAAGTACAATAGAATGGCGTCGTCATGAGTGACAGCTCCGTTGTACCTTCTGATATGACTGTGGGAGATAGAGCCGGACAGCTATAACCAATTGAACAACGAAGTTCTAGAGGATTGAAATAGGATCCTGAAGGGCAGTTGAAGGTGTACTCTAAAAACTCGTTAGTAGCCGTCAGAAGGCAGTATTTGTACTTTGAGCAATCCGGTTGTGATGGGTCAGGATGACGACCAATGCTTGTGCAACTAAAAATACCAGGACTAGTTGCTATTGATGGAGTTGTGAAAGTTGTCTCTTGTGTTGTAGGCTCGACAGTGGACGTAGTGGTTGCCGTTGGACATTGGTATTGTGACATGATAACGCATCGATTTTGCTCCGCTGAGAATATAGTGATAGATGGACACTGAGTTTGCACGGTTTCGTAGACTCCAGCCACGGTGGTTGAACATAGATAGTAGCCTTTGCAGTCAGTAGACATAGGGTCAGGGAAACGCCCAACAGCGGTACAGACGAACGATTCACTTGTTGGCGGTGTTTGTGTTGTCAGCACTGGGGTTGATGGTTCTGGTGTAGTGACTATAGGTGTTTCTGATGACGAAACTGTTGTTTCGACTGTGGAAGACTCCTTTGTGGGATCCGGTGTAGTAGTTTCCACCATAGGGCACTGATAATCTGTCGGCTGAACACATTTCCCTTTTTCAGGGGTGAAGATGGTAACCGAAGGACACTGATTTAGCGTCGCTTTGAAAAATCCATCAGTATTCTCGGTACATAGATAGTAACCCTTGCAATTGGTAGACTCTGGATCGGGAAAACGTCCGTAGTCAGGGCAAGCAAATGATTCACCAGGAGGTTCCCGAGTGGGCTCATCTGTTTCTGAAGTGGATGGTTCGTTTGTGGTTGTTATGGCAGGTGACGGAATCGTGTAGTCTGTAGTAAGCACAGTGGATGATGGTTCTGGTGTAGTGACTATAGGTGTTTCTGATGACGAAACTGTTGTTTCGACCGTGGAAGACTCCTTTGTGGGATCCGGTGTAGTAGTTTCCACCATAGGGCACTGATAATCTGTCGGCTGAACACATTTTCCTTTTTCAGGAGTGAAGATGGTAACCGAAGGACACTGATTTAGCGTCGCTTTGAAAAATCCATCAGTATTCTCGGTACATAGATAGTAACCCTTGCAATCGGTAGACTCTGGATCGGGAAAACGTCCGTAGTCAGGGCAAGCAAATGATTCACCAGGAGGTTCCCGAGTGGGCTCATCTGTTTCTGAAGTGGATGGTTCGTTTGTGGTTGTTATGGCAGGTGACGGAATCGTGTAGTCTGTAGTAAGCACAGTGGATGATGGTTCTGGTGTAGTGACTATAGGTGTTTCTGATGACGAAACTGTTGTTTTGACCGTGGAAGACTCCTTTGTGGGATCCGGTGTAGTAGTTTCCACCATAGGGCACTGATAATCTGTCGGCTGAACACATTTACCTTTTTCAGGAGTGAAGATGGTAACCGAAGGACACTGATTTAGCGTCGCTTTGAAAAATCCATCAGTATTCTCGGTACATAGATAGTAACCCTTGCAATCGGTAGACTCTGGATCGGGAAAACGTCCGTAGTCAGGGCAAGCAAATGATTCACCAGGAGGTTCCCGAGTGGGCTCATCTGTTTCTGAAGTGGATGGTTCGTTTGTGGTTGTTATGGCAGGTGACGGAATCGTGTAGTCTGTAGTAAGCACAGTGGATGATGGTTCTGGTGTAGTGACTATAGGTGTTTCTGATGACGAAACTGTTGTTTCGACCGTGGAAGACTCCTTTGTGGGATCCGGTGTAGTAGTTTCCACCATAGGGCACTGATAATCTGTCGGCTGAACACATTTTCCTTTTTCAGGAGTGAAGATGGTAACCGAAGGACACTGATTTAGCGTCGCTTTGAAAAATCCATCAGTATTCTCGGTACATAGATAGTAACCCTTGCAATCGGTAGACTCTGGATCGGGAAAACGTCCGTAGTCAGGGCAAGCAAATGATTCACCAGGAGGTTCCCGAGTGGGCTCATCTGTTTCTGAAGTGGATGGTTCGTTTGTGGTTGTTATGGCAGGTGACGGAATCGTGTAGTCTGTAGTAAGCACAGTGGATGATGGTTCTGGTGTAGTGACTATAGGTGTTTCTGATGACGAAACTGTTGTTTCGACCGTGGAAGACTCCTTTGTGGGATCCGGTGTAGTAGTTTCCACCATAGGGCACTGATAATCTGTCGGCTGAACACATTTTCCTTTTTCAGGAGTGAAGATGGTAACCGAAGGACACTGATTTAGCGTCGCTTTGAAAAATCCATCAGTATTCTCGGTACATAGATAGTAACCCTTGCAATCGGTAGACTCTGGATCGGGAAAACGTCCGTAGTCAGGGCAAGCAAATGATTCACCAGGAGGTTCCCGAGTGGGCTCATCTGTTTCTGAAGTGGATGGTTCGTTTGTGGTTGTTATGGCAGGTGACGGAATCGTGTAGTCTGTAGTAAGCACAGTGGATGATGGTTCTGGTGTAGTGACTATAGGTGTTTCTGATGACGAAACTGTTGTTTTGACCGTGGAAGACTCCTTTGTGGGATCCGGTGTAGTAGTTTCCACCATAGGGCACTGATAATCTGTCGGCTGAACACATTTTCCTTTTTCAGGAGTGAAGATGGTAACCGAAGGACACTGATTTAGCGTCGCTTTGAAAAATCCATCAGTATTCTCGGTACATAGATAGTAACCCTTGCAATCGGTAGACTCTGGATCGGGAAAACGTCCGTAGTTAGGGCAAGCAAATGATTCACCAGGAGGTTCCCGAGTGGGCTCATCTGTTTCTGAAGTGGATGGTTCGTTTGTGGTTGTTATGGCAGGTGACGGAATCGTGTAGTCTGTAGTAAGCACAGTGGATGATGGTTCTGGTGTAGTGACTATAGGTGTTTCTGATGACGAAACTGTTGTTTCGACCGTGGAAGACTCCTTTGTGGGATCCGGTGTAGTAGTTTCCACCATAGGGCACTGATAATCTGTCGGCTGAACACATTTTCCTTTTTCAGGAGTGAAGATGGTAACCGAAGGACACTGATTTAGCGTCGCTTTGAAAAATCCATCAGTATTCTCGGTACATAGATAGTAACCCTTGCAATCGGTAGACTCTGGATCGGGAAAACGTCCGTAGTCAGGGCAAGCAAACGATTCACCAGGAGGTTCCCGAGTGGGCTCATCTGTTTCTGAAGTGGATGGTTCGTTTGTGGTTGTTATGGCAGGTGACGGAAACGTGTAATCTGTAGTAAGCACAGTGGATGATGGTTCTGGTGTAGTGACTATAGGTGTTTCTGATGACGAAACTGTTGTTTCGACCGTGGAAGACTCCTTTGTGGGATCCGGGGTAGTAGTTTCCACCATAGGGCATTGATAATCTGTCGGCTGAACACATTTTCCTTTCTCAGGGGTGAAGATGGTAACCGAAGGACACTGATTTAGCGTCGCTTTGAAAAATCCATCAGTATTCTCGGTACATAGATAGTAACCCTTACAATCGGTAGATTCTGGATCAGAAAAACGTCCATAGCTGGTGCAAATGAATGATGATGGATATAGGGTTGTTACAGCGTTATGGTCTGTGGTGGATGCGCTGGTACTTTCCGAAACAGTGGACTGATTCTCTGTATCGGTTGTCGTGGTAATCTCAACAGTTACAGTCGTCTCACTAGTCGAAGAATTCTGGGTAGTAACTTCAATGTCTGTAGTATATGAAATAGTGCTTTCAATAGTCGCAGGCATATCTGTCATCGCAGTAGTGCCCGCTGAACACTGATAACCCGTCGCCAAACATTTCTGATCTACTGGTGAAAAGATAGTATTCGATGGACACTGGTACAGGATAGCTTCATATATTCCGTATATACTGATCGTGCACAGGTAGTATGTCGTGCAATCGGTTGAAGCTGGATCAGGAACGCGTCCAATATCAGTACACACGAATGCGTTTGGTTCCCTGGTTTCTGAAGTTGATTCTTCGGTCGTTGTGGAAGTAGCTGCCTCGATCGTTGAAGGTTCTGCCGAAGATGTGGTCGCAGGGCACTCATATTGGTTTGACATGACGCACTTCTGGGTTTCTGGTGAAAATACTGTATCTAAAGCGCATTGATACAAAATTGCGTCAATGTTTCCGTCGATTGTAGTTACGCATAGGTAATATCTTGTGCAATCAACAGATTGAGGGTCTGAAAAACGTCCTTCAGTAATACACACAAAACTGTCAGGACCGGTATTCTCTTCAGTTGGTATCGTAGTAGCTTCAGTTGTGGTAGTTATTGCATTGGGGCACGTAAAAGTGGTTGGCAACACACACTTCATGGACACCCAAGAAAATATGGTCGTTGAAGGACAGTTGTTTAATACGGGTAACAGAACATTACTACACATATAGTACGATTTACAGTCAGGTGATTCGACATCAGGAAAGTGTCCTGATGATGGACATACAAAGTCACCAGATAGTATTGGGTCATCAATGGGTGTGTCTGGAAGTTTTCCACAATCGTTATTGTCTTCTGGAATACACTTCAGTTTTAGCAGGGAAAACCCTTCACCCAGTGGGCATTCAAACTTGACAGCATAGAACTCATCGTTTGCACTTTTGACACAATAGTAGTAAACGCCACAATTCTCCGATTCCACTACAGCGAAACCTTCCTTCTCGCACTCAAGCTCGACCGATTGCGCGTGTTCTGAGATTTCCAATAACACGTAGCATACCAATAACATTAGCTTTTTCTTCATTCTGAATGTTCATTCGTTTACTAAGTAATTCTAACACAATTTTTTGGTGATCAGGTCTGTTCTTCAATGTCGACTGGAGTTACTTCCGACCTTCGGTATCTTTTAAAGGAAAACGGCATCGTTCAGATAACGGAATGGCTGCCATAAAACCATACTGCCTATGACTATTAAAAAAACAATGCGAAAACAACCTCAGCTCCATGCGTTCATCTGCAAATTGGTATAGACATTACTCAATGATAACACAGCCTGGTGAAGCATTTAGCTGCAGAACAACTAATTTCGCTTCCTTTCCATTATATCTCCCAATGAGGTATTCAACCTATTTCACAATGAAGTCCCATAATTTTTTTTTGTTCATACACAACAAGTGTTTTATTGATTTGAAAAAGGGGTGGTACTTATTTCTGAACTCGGGATTCATTCATAAATTTGAAAGATTCGGGCCAATTTCTTCATCTGTGCTTAAACGTCAAACTAGGGGCCTCATTGGGGAAATCTAAACGAACCATTTTTCGAATGAATGCTTGTGCAAAAAAAAATGTTTCATCTATGTTACATAATGTGGCCCGGGTTTAATCATGACGGATTCAAAAATATGTGCTTGATTTCATTGTGTGGTTAGTTTTCAAATGTATGCTGTGAGCATGCTGTCTGTATGTTTTGGATTTAAGTGAGGTCTTGAAATACGGATTATCAAGTCAATATCCGATAATCCGGCCTTGATTTAGTCGGATATGTTGGAGGATACTGTACAACAATAGGCCAAAAATCGATGCATAGCTCTTGCAACACTACCACTGAAACCACAGATAAGATTCTATATGCTTTAGCAACCCCCACAAATGCCAGCTCCTTAGCAACCGTTTTAAAGACTACACTATACAACCTATTTAAGCCTCACTTCCGCATCTAAACTTGGCGGCTTGTGTTCAATCAGCATACTAGCGTAAACTAGCAGGTAAGTAGATCCGTTCCTGGAAGTCCGTAACAATTAGTGAGAAAAATTTTACCCTATCAAGAGCGAGTTTATGATCATACTTCTTGATATGAATGTAGTCTGTGGAATTAGTGATAACAAGAGTTAAACGCGTGCTGCTCAATCAAATATGAGTACCTGAAATTTAAAATTCCTAGCTGATTGCTTTAATCTTAATTGCAGGGGTAGTAAATCGGTTCCGGTTTGAATTTCCGGATTGGCTTTTCGTTTCAACACATCGCTCTAATAAAAAATAACAAACGAAAGATAGCACAAATAATAGAACTATTCCACAAATGGTTTGGATGAAACCCCAAACATGTCGTTAAGCAAAATAACCATAACCAATTTATTAGGGCGATCCTTTCAACACAGATGAATACTAAGGTGAAACAGTCGGAAGAAAAACTTTCTATTTTAGTGTCCTCTTTCACGGACCCTTTCATCCAATGAATACCCCCCGTATGCAAGGTCATTTTGTGGTTTTGCTGCCCCCTCGGTAGAAATGAAATTTGGCGCTCTTTTTTTTATCAAAACAATCACACCAAAATCAGAGATATCCCATTTTTTTAAATTATTCGATTAACATTTAATCAATTATTTTGTGTTCGCTGTGCTGTCATTTTTCCACCAATGAGTGTGGAGCATATGTTTGAAACGATGGGTGATGATCCTCTGGTGAGGTTAATACCCCGTTCACATTACAGCGTTTATCACGTGATATACGGTGTCTTGCAATGAGCACTCATACATCTAGTTTTCACTGGAAATCCTATGTATAAGTGCTCATTGCAAGACAGCCTATATTACGTGATATAGACTGTAATGTGAACGGGGTATAATGCTTATATCAGCATGATATAACCGATTACAAATATTTTAATTTTCGGTTCGTTAATCGATTAATCGATTATTCGAATGAAAATCGGCCATCACTAGATGCATGTGGAACGTCATTTCAAATTTAAGGTCGTACATAAATAATGATACAATTTGAAAGGGACCGGGGCTAATCACAAATTACGTCCCAATGGTAACTGAAATAAACACGAGTGTGGACCGGTTGCTCACACTGCCATTGAATCTCTTTCAGTCACTGTTAGGCTACCTAAATAATTCCCATGCAAACTTCAAATCATTTCCGCAACCTACACACTACACTGAAACAAAGATTATAGTTAGGAATACTATTTTGCAGAAAGCACTTATTTTCAGGATAACTACCCTAATAAACAAATACCATAAACGAACTGCATCCCGAATGGGTAAACTATCCCACAGATGGTTTGGATGATACCCCGAACACGTCGTTAAGCTCTCTTTTATGGTTATTTTTATTAGGGTACCCCGACCAACCGTTCGTGAAACTTCTTCAAAGTTCTTTATACAGAAATAAAGATTTATGTCGGCAATTCTTTACTTTAAATTTTCTATGATTTCGATGTACATCTTTATTGAACGATACTTACATTTAAGATTATTTCTTCATCGGTCATATGATAGTAATCTATAAAGGTGCCATACTAAATTTCTTTTAATTTCGATATATCACATGGACTTTAGTATTCTTTACAAATATTCATCAATAAATATTTAAATACTGATATCATCGTAACATTGAACTTTGACAAAGAACAACAAAGATTGCCATCGATGCACATTTATAATCTCCTTTTTATCGATTTGCATCGCTGGTTAAAGAGAGTTCGAGACACACCAGGTGACAGATGGCAATGTTTATATTATTTATCGACATATTCGGAATTTCATCGGAAGAAGCAATCTGCCGGTAAATGAACGAGAAGACCGATGTTTACCATTGTAGTTCTTTAAGTTAACGTTTATATATTTAATAACCCGTGATAGCATGCGTGGTGGGATTCTCGGAATTTGGAACCCAATGAGGAAAATGTATACCTTTTTGACCTCTATTACACCTACATGGCTGACTGGTTGATGGTTATGACAAATAAATATTGAATTCATGTATGAAAAGATTTACAGAAATTTCAATACACCTCTTACTAGAGTGTGTTTGCCTGTCGTTGATAAGCTCATCAACAGCAGCCGTGGACCCGAGGATTAGCAACCAACAACGAAATCAGTACACCCCAGATGGCATGGGATCGAAACTAGAAATCACAAACGAAGTGACAGACGACTTACTGGCGAAGAAATCCATTTAAATAATGTGGTTCACTGTAATAGAATTTTCTTAGAAGCTTGTGTCATCATCCACCAGATGGGTTAGTTTTTTTGTTTTGATTTGAACAAAGTTGATTGGCAAATCAAAGTTGGCACTCGTGGAGAATAGAAGAACTGTGAGAGTGATGATGATTTCAAAATTTTACACGGTGAGGTATACGAGTGCAATTTTAAAATGCTTTTATTTTGAAAATGGAGCATTTTATTTAAATCTGGTTAATGCTACAGTTGTAGAAAAGCTGAAATCTATGTGTACACATAAAAATCTGAAAAAAATATTATTTCTAGATTATATGTCTATTAAGTAGTCCTTAAGTTTTCTACTAGCGATTGACGCGCTTCGCCGATCTTAAAGGCCGTGGCTGTAAAGTTCCCAATGATGTATTGGAGAAGTTGGTCTCTTCGCTGCAGCAGGACTAAACCCAGGACCCCTAGGCGACCCCGAGTGATGTCTAATCTGTGTCTGCCCTGGTGCGGTGTGGACAGTGATTTTTCACTGAAGACCAGGTCCTGTGACCTTCTGTGCATTAAAACGAATATATATATAATTACTTTGCTTGAGTATGGTTGGTTGGGAAATCCGATTTATATGTAACTTCTTGAAACTAATCCCTTTCGATCCCTTTGTTACTTCTTAAACGCTGTCCAGACTGGAGAGTTATAACGTGTTATAACGGTTGTCAACTAATTGCAACACAGAAACCACCATCAAGATAGAGCTATAACATGTTATAACTCTGTAGTCTGAACGTACTATTACAGTCTTTTTTCGCACTTTGCATATAACACCATCTTATACTAATATCTACATTAAAATGATGAACGGAGAGCTCATTCCCAGTGCTTGGTGGACCAGCCTCAACCCAGATGACCATGGAAAAGCAAGAAAATTTGTTTTCGTTGAAGCAAGTATCACAACACAGGTAATTACTATTAGATATTTTTGCAGGGAGCTAAAGATGGTGAACATGAGGATCCAGAGGTGGTGCTGAGCAAAGCTGTTATATCCTAGACAAATGGTAAGTTCCAAATTCGCTGTTGTCGTCGTCGTAGTCGCTGTTGGCAGTACCATTCGTGTATTTAAATTAATACCCCGTTCACATTACAGCGGATATCACGCGATATATGCTGTCTTGCAATAAGCACTCATACATCTAGTTTTCAATAGAAATCCTATGTATTAGCGTATTAGCACAAACGAAGTGACAGACGACTTACTGGCGAAGAAATCAATTAAAATAATGTGGTTCGCTGTAATAAAATTTTCTTAGAAGCTTGTGCCATCATCCACCAGATGGGATAGTATTTTTGTTTTGGTTTCGCACAAAGTTGATTTTGTGTACAATGATTCTTTGACAGTGTGAAAGAGTGTATATCATTTTGTCATTTTTTTATGCATTCCAGTTTTGAGTAGAGTGAAAGAGATAGAACCAAAACATTCTAGTACATTTGGTGAAAATGCTAGTTCAATCCAGTAGTAGCATAGAGGTAACTCTAAGACAAGAAGGTCCCGAAATAACGTGCTCAACTTTTTGGCTCAGCTCTGGTACTCTCTTCGGTCCCAAGCTAATCGATTCACCCCTCGAAACATAGGAAAAACCAATAACCCCTCATTTTATCTGTCAAACTTTCATAGCGAATCAAAACAAACATTGCGTAGTACGAGGGGGGCGGCACATCTAAATCTCAAGTTTAGATGCTCAACAAATCTCACACTAGCGAATCAATCTTCGAAAAATCTTCTTTCATTTGTCGCATCTACTTGCATCGCCCATCATCTTCTTGCAGGAAATCTTCAGAATCGTCAACAATCTTCTTTCTATCTACTCAGCGTGCGTGCAGCTAGCCACAGCATAACACAATTTTTTCTGCATCGTAGATAGAGTCGTCCCCC